CTCCAGCCACTCCTCTCCCCATTCATACTTGTGCTCAGTGCCATTCCATCCTAGTTGCAGAATCCAGCATTTGGACTTGTTAAATTTCATCCATGAATCATTGCCAAATGAAGAAAAAGCCAAGAATAAAATCACATAACCCAAAGCAACAGGAAATCAATGCGGCCATTTATGCCAGTAAAATCAAAAAAAAGTATCTCTTACTCTTTCTGAATCTGCTGACAAGCTACACTCGTCTACCTAACCAATGAGAGCAGCAACTTGATCCTTTTGCTCCACCTGGGTACTCAAACTGTACTTCAAAGGAAGCAAAAGCTGGCAACAGTTTAGTTACACAGCTCTTCCCTGCAGAGTCTCATAGTACCATTCTGATTTAAATCAGCCTCTAGGATTCTTAAATTGGTCAGAAGTATTTTCTTCTATTTGGAAAAACCAGCACACCTCTGGCAGGTCATGGCGCCACGTCCACCACAGACTGCAAAAGAAAACTCAGCCCCACTGACTGTTATTACCTATTTGCTGAAGCAACAGGCTAATTTTATTATGAAGAATTATCACACACTTCAATGCAAGTCACATTCACAGCTGAGGAAAACAAATAAATGGAATAAAAGCACACCACTCATTAAGAGCTCCTGCTGGGAGGCTAGGCATGGTGGCTTACACTTACTTTGGGGAAATTATTGATTCGAGTAAGCCTCATCTCAACCCTGTTGATGCCAGGACTGTTCTCATATGACTCCTCTCTACACCCAGGAGGAGAGTCTTGGAACTAACCAGCTAATCCTTTACTAGACAGCGGTACAAGAATTTTTCAATTTACTTTACATAAATGAAATTAGTAACTGTGATGTCTTTCAGTCTTCTTAAACAAGAATATGCCATCTTTCCACTATTATGTATGCAAATACATAACATCCTCTGGCTTCTCTCAGATATATAACACTGCCAGAACAGCTGGCAGCCCCAAAGTGATCATCAGTGGAACTAAGCCTAGTTGGAGGCTAGTAACTAGCAGTGTACCCCAGGAGTCAATACTAGGTCTAGTTGTGTTAAACATCTTCATTAGTAACCTGGCTGATGAGGCAGACTGCACCCTCAGGAAGTTTTCCACTGACACAAAATCGGAAGGAGTGGCTGATGCACCAGACAATCCTGCTCCCACACAGAGGGACCTCAACAGGCTGGAGAAATGGGCCAACAGGAACTTCACGAAGTTGAGGAAGAAGTGCAAGGTCCTGTCCTTGGGGAGGAACAAGCCAATACACCACTCTATGCTGGGGGCAGCCCAGCTGGAGAACAGCTTGGCAGAAAAGGGCATGGTGTCCTGGTGAACCCCAAAATGAACGTGAGCAAACAACGTGTCCTTGCAGCAAAGATGGCAGATGGGATCATGTGCTACATCAGACAAAGTACTGCCAGCAGGAGAGCCTTCAGCTCTCCTCCACACTAGTGGGGTCACACCTGAAGTCCTGTCTCCACTTCTGGGCTACTTAGCACGTCAGTGACATGGACATACTGGAGACAAAGTCCCACAAGGGTCATGGGGATGAAAGGACTGTAGCATCTCTCCTACAAGGAGTGACTGAGAGAGCTGGGAGTGATAAGCATGAAGAAGCGAAAGCTCGGGGTGGGGGGAATCTTATCAAAAGACACAAATACCTCTCGGGAGGGTGCAAAGAAGATGAGGCTGGGCTCATGTTAGTGGTGCCCAGTGACAGGACCAGAGGCAGTGGGCACAAACTGAAACACAAACAGTTGCTCCTGAACCTCAAGAAACACTTCCTTACTGTGAAGATGACTGAACATTGACAGAGGTTGCCCAGGAGGTTGTGCAACCTCCATCCTTGAAGACAGACAAAAAACACCTGGACATGGTCCTTTTTAAATGGCTTGAGCAGAGGGGTTGGACCAGGTGACCTCCAGAAGTCACTTTCAACCTCCACCATTCTGTGCTATGACATATAATGTCATGTCTGTGATGTATGTCATATAATGTATTAGCAAAATGATGCAACTTCAATATTTTCAACTAGAGTACTTTTTCTTTATTGACTTCTTTACCTCATCTCCAGAGAACACCAGGTAATTGTGGGAGAGGGTAATAACCTTCATCCCTACTTTTGACCAGCATCAAATTACAAACAAAAAAGCATGGGGGTACACTTGGTCATTAACTCTGCTGTTTTAGAATATGACTAAAAATAAAGTAAGTCCACAGGGACACATCTACACAAGAACTCACTGACAGTGTTACTATTTCCCAGTAGTGGCATTAATGATTTTCTTGACATTGCACAAAACAGGCCATTCTGGCAATACCACTAGGAAGTATTTACTTGCAGTGCAACCAACAGGCAGAACCAATGCAACTGAAATTAGTGTTGAAGGAAAAACAAACCAAAACAAAACTATCTCCCTCTTTCCCATATGTTTTCAAAACTGCTATACATGTAGAGGATTCCACATAGAAAGTTTTACCTTGCTGATGTGCTCTGGTGCTTGATCTGGTTGACTGCTGAACTCACCACCTATCTGGAGGTCACTGACACAGGAAATCGAGTCTCTCAGCTCAGTGAGCTTCTGGCTGCCCAGTACAAGGACTGTTTGATAGGGTTTGTGATCTTTATGCTACAAAGGAAACAGCATACAAGCTTCAGATAAATTATCCCTTATCAGCATCAGGACTGCTCTTCAGCTGACACCTTAAGGTCAGTAATGGCAGCACATGGCACATCACTTCTCTGTACAAGATTTTAAACTGCCTCTCATCTCAGCCTCTCCCAAGACTGACAGGTATTGGTTTTATTCAGAAACTCAAAGGCACATCCTCCAACAGAAAGAGCAGGAAAGACAGAAAGTCTGAGCATGCTTATCCCAAATCTAGAGAGAGTACTTTAGTTTTCGTGTATTAGTTTCAGATTTTTAGCTTTCTGTGAAATAAATTAACTACTGAGTAATTATTGTAAAAATTTCCTTCTGTAAACCATTAGCAGAATGAGAGCCAGATTCTGAAAGAAATTACCACAGTTGAAGGGTTTACCACACTCCTTCAGTGGACTCACTGATTTTAACTGCTTGTGAAAGCAAGATGTTACCTGAGTAGAGAAGAGACATTAGAATATAACCTAGAAAATCTAGCACCAACCTTCTGAAATATAACAGGATAGAAGATGTTCAGAGTTAAAAGTAATTCTCCCTCCTCAACTAGATCTGTTGGATTGTCTGGTCTCTTTCCAATTGCATGTGACTCCTGGAAAAATACACACATACACACAGATATATTAGAAAACACTTACATGTCACAGCCTCTGCATAAAAGTCCAAGAAATGCTGTTCTAACTCATTTTTGACCATGTAGCCTTCTGAATTGGTAACAGCCTACTTCCTCCAAGATGGAAAGGTGAGAAACTTTAATTCTGCAATGACTGTAATGACCAGTTTCAAGCATGTCCCTTCATTTCTTAGCTTTCTTACAAGATAGCTGGCTAGTTCTTGAATATTCAGAAGCCCTGCATAAAGGAATTAGGGCCTGCTCTCATTTTGCCCTCATGGAACACAGCTGCTACCAACTTCCACACTTAAGGCTTTGAAATGCTCTTCATAGAATCATAGAATCAACCGAGTTGGAAGAGACCTCAAAGATCAAGTCCAATGCTACTGCGGTTACTAGACCATGGCACTAAGTGCCACATCCAGTCTCATCTTGAAAACCTCCAGGGATGGTGAATCCACCACCTCCCCGGGCAGCCCATTCCAATGCCTGAGAACTCTCTGTGTAAAAAATATCTTCCTAATATCCAGCCTAAACCACCCCTGGCTTTCACATATAAGGGGGCATTGCAACTCTTGGCTTGACAAACACTGACCTAGAATGCTATGGATCTATGAAAATTTATGAAATCAAGTTTTCCTGTTTAGGACTTCAATTGCTGTGAAGAAATCATTAAAAAATGGGGGTACTAAGCATAGTTGAAGCAATTCCAGTATGGCTTTCAAGGGGCTGATTATTACACTCCTGGTTCCTGACAGTTCATAATGGCTGAGAAACTTGGGTTACAAAGCTCAGAATTAGGAATTTACTGCCACCATGCTGCTACAGTGTTCCTGTTTCAGCCCTACAGAAACTAGCTCACAACCATTTACCCTTTCCAACACAGGACTTTCCATGAGCAAAAGCATTATGCATTTCATCCAGCATCATGGTAGGTTCACACAATGCTCAGCAGACTTGCTCCCTACACAATGCTTTAGTATCAACCAAATAAAAGCAGCCATACAGTGGGAATGAGCCGGAGTTCCTTCTTACTGCGCTCAGTACTAACAGGCTGTAAGAGCAGATTTCCTATCCTATCTTTCTATAAAGTGTCTTTAATCTTGTCAATCACCTGCAAACATTTACAGTGTATGAAGATTCATAGTGATGAAAAAAGAACAACCAGAAGTTGGATTTTGGCTGTCTGGAGAGCCAAGAGACGACAGGGAACTCACCATCTCATAGGCAAGAGTTTCTTGTCTGCAAGCCCGATCCACAATGATTGTTTCTTCTCTTCTCCCTAAGGCCTTCTTTCTAATTCTGAGAGGCAGGAAAACAAGACAAAATTTCATTCAATGACTTTCATGCAGAATCTCGAGGTGTACTTTAAAATGACACAAGCTACTACGGAGCAGCTTTCAAACAGCAGAATTCCTGTCTGTTTTAGTATGACAGACTAACTTAAAATACTCTGTGTCCTGACTCCCACAAAATCTGATAGTACACAGGCCAGGCTTTGGATTCCAGCCTGTGTTTTGCCTTCCCCTTTTGAAAAAATTACAGGCTTGTTGTGGGCAGTTTTACACTTTCAGGAAAAAAACAGCAAAATGTTGTCTGAAGAGGCTCTTCCAGGAAAGAACACTTTGCCACCTTTGAGTAAGCTGTTTCAGCTATCCCTCCCACTTCAAAAAAATTCAATTCATGTTCAAGCAAAGCACCAGAAAAAAACCCAACCCACATATATTCTCAGCTTCATGGCACAGATGCTTTAAAAAAATCAGTATAACTTGTAGATGAAAGAGTATCATACATAAAATGCCTACTAAAACACATGTATTTAACCACTGCATGAGCATCAAATCCTTCTTAACTTCCAGGACAAGTCTATTTACCCCCCAGACCTTCCTAAAGGTTTTCAGTAACAGTCAGACTTAACACTGATCACAATCTTAACACTTTTCTTTACATTAGTAATATATATGCAAAGTACAGCAAAGGCCTGAGCTGGCCAAAGATGAGTTTGAAGTTCACTGAGAGAAACTTAACATGTATTGCTTAACCTCTGCAATGCACCACTAATACCAATGAATTCTGCACACAATGGGTTCAGATAAACAGGTTATCTGTCCACAGCTCCAGTACTTACACTCTGGCTGTTACAACGTGACCACGGGTTACCAGAGCTAAGATCTACAGACACGTTGCACAAGACTTCGGAGGAACCTCACACCCATGATTATGAGAAGTACCCTGTACACTCCAAATTTATGTGCTAGTTCCAAAGTACCTAGGTCCATACATCCTAAGCTTTTCCAACAACAAAGATGGCATGTTCTGTATGCTTTAATTTCTAAGTAACATTCAAACAGAACGCTTATACCAATTATCCTATCATTAACTGGTGTTTCTGTCTTCAGAGTGTTTCTGTACACTGCATCAGCAAGTACACCATTGCCTGGAAAGGGAACAAGCAGCCAGTCATACCTTAGTGCTTGTTTTCCACCCCACCCCAAGTAAGGGTCCCCTGAGTGTACCATAACAACATACTTAAGAGTTAGCAAACTGCTATCTTCAGGAATAACATCTGGGTCCTCTTCTTTATCAGAAGACATTAATGTATCAATGCTAGAATGATAAAGAAAATAACTATTAGACATTTTTTTCATATTTACCTCATAACAAAATTCAGTTATCTATTCTTAAAATGACCAAAGACAGCAAAATGTGAAAAAACAAGGTACAGCCTGTATAGCCTAAATGAGGTCAAAAGGGCAGTATGGTTCTTAGATAACCACCAGACAGAGCATCCTGAACTTTATGTCCAGTTTTCACAGAGACTGGGTAAATGCTATCTTTATTTTTCATTCTGCCTAATTGAGCACAACTACCTACAGAGGTTTAACAAGTCCTGTGTAAGATGTGCATCTAATATTTGATGTTTCCAAATCTCATCCACTCCTCCAACGTTCCAATGATATATGGCAAAAGAGATTCAACCAAAAGAAATAATCAACCTCAACATGTATGATAAAGTTAACATCCCTTCAGGTACAAACACAGGCAAGCCACCACACTTACGCAAGCTGTCATAGCCCTATTAAGGCAGTAACTTATGACCCATTTCTTCGAGTCAGAATAAGACAACACTTCTGCCAGAAGTGACAGGTCCACTCTTCCTTGTATCCTTTTTTTTCCCCATTCTCAGAAAAGGTTTTCAACCTCACTTTTCTTATGTTTGTACCAAATCCAAACTACAGCTAACCAAAGGTTTTTGCTATAGTGAAAATCACTGCAGGATGTGGGAATAAAAAGTCAGTCTGTTTTTCGCTGCAGCAAATATTTAAACTGACCATACAAACATTAGGCTTTTGTAAGAGAAATGAGGATGGAATTTCTTATAAACACACCACAAAAAAATTAATCCTGTGGAATACCATATCTGCTTCCCTTCCACTGCTTTATAACTCCCCTAC